CTGCCTCTTGGGTGCTGTTACCGGCATGTGCTATCAGGCTCAGTTCCTTTCATTACAGGTTTAATACAACTCATCTGAAATGCCTGGGACAGGAAGTACTGAAGATTTCAGGGTTTTTTCTTTGTATTTTAGAATGCTTGCATACACTTACTGTGGTAACTTGGAAGTGGGACCCAAGTCTGAACATGAATTCATTGTTTCATACAGCCCTGTGTACAGAGCCTAAGGATACTTTTGTATACTAGCTTCAGTGTTCTCGTGTTTTGACTCTTGCCTGTCACATGAAGTCAGAGGTGGAATTTTTTACTTGTGGCATCATGTCACTGCTCAGAAAGTTTCAGATTTTGCTGTATTTTGGATTTTTAGATTAGAGATGCTTGATTTTTTCTGTTTATTAGGATTTTATATAGGGCAGAGGTGAGCAGTGAATTTATTTGGAGCCAATGTCCTCTAAAACGCTTGTCACCTCTCTGCTAAGCTCCCTCCTAAACATGCCCACTGCTTTATCATTGGGTTTCAAACAAACAGAGTTATTGTTTCCTGTCTGGAAGACAGGAAAATGGAGACACAAATTTGGGGGTAATTTTCCTAGGAGCACTAATCCATATGAGGACCCCATTCTCATCACCCTTTGAGTCCCAAAGATCCACCTCCAAATGCTATAACATGATAGGGGAGTGTCAAAGCAAACCACACAAATCTGAGGGGAACACAATTCAGTATACAGCAGAGACTCTAGTATAGAGTCTTGATCCTAGGGGCCACTGGAGCCATGTTTTGCAAACATACATATATGGCCCGGTCCGTCACAGAGGCAAACCGGCTGCTAGGTAGGAGTCAGTGAACTTTAAGTTTGGTCATCATCTGAGTAAAATTGCTGTCATCTTCATGAGATCTCTTGTGTGTAAACAGAGTTTTTCTGTGTTTTGGCAGTCACTTCCCAAATTACTACAAGAGACTCTTCTTATTAATTATAAATGCTTAGCCAATAGCTCAGGCTTGTTACTACCCAACTCTTACATTTAAATTAATCCACATTCCATATGCTTTGCTATGTGGCTTATGTCTTATTACCTCATTTTCCACACACCCTGCTTCCTTGGCATCTGGCTGGTGTCTTCAGAATCTGCCCTTCTTCCTCCCCGAATTCTCCTAGTCTGGCTGTCCTGCCAGTCAGCTTTTTTATTAAAACAATCACATAGACTTATAATCACACAGCATAATGGAATATTCCACAGTACCTATGCCTACTTTCCAAGAGTAGTCATAATCAGCCCTGTGGATTGATGACGTTCTCTCCTAGGAGGAGGCTTCAGGAGGGTCACTGACCCTTCACCTGAGTATCTGACTATTCCTCCAAGCTATGTGTATTCAGTTCAGTCCTAATTGCATGTGGCCTCAGGACCTCAGGGAGGGACTAGAGTAGATAGGCTGGTGTAGACTAGGGGGGACTAGGCTTCATCTGTGAGGCTATGGGGAAGCCATAGTCCATGCTATGTCAAGACTTTCCAGTGCAGCTTCTCTGAGGTCATCAACACTCCTAACAATAACTCCACACCCATATTTATCGGTAAATCAAATAAATTTATGCCTAGGATGAACCAAGGTTGAACTGCCCTTTGGTTTATCCTTGGGACCTTAGGAAGAAGGGGTAGATGTCATTCACATCTCCCCACAGAGAAAAGAATTTTAGTAACAAAAGCTGAAATATTTGTCAGCACTCCAAAGTCAGGGTTTGTGTTAGACAACATTTCATCATTGTGATGAAATGCTTATACAAGCAACTTAACAAGAGAGGTTTTAGTTTTGGTTCATGGTTTCAGAGATTTCAGTACACAGTCACTTGGGCTTGATACCCTGGGCCTGTGGTGGCATAGTAGTATATTGTCATATGAGAGGCACAAGTAGCAATCTGACTGAATGACTCACTTCATGGTGGACACGAAGCAGAGAACAGGGAAGGGACCAGGGACTACTAGATACAGCCCTCAAAGGCACTCTCCCAGCAACCTTCTTCCTTCAGCTAAGCTTCATGTCACAAAATAGCCCACCAGCTGGGGCCCAAGCATTCAACACACGAGCCAGCCTGTGACTGTGATGGTTTGAAAGAAAATGGACCCCAAAGGTGTTGTTATTTTGTAAAAGTCTAAAAATTAGAAAGTCGAGAGGTGGAATTGGCACGATGGAACACGAACGGTAGAGAGTACATTAATCATAGAGTTTATTACAGGGCGGAAGAGTGAGAGAGAGGAGAGAGGAAGAGAAAGAGAGTGTAAGAGTAAGAGAAAGGTAAGAGAGCATGAGAATAAGAGAATGCCAGAACATGGAAGCAGCCTAGATGCCCCTCAACTGAAGAATGGATAGAGAAAATGTGGTGCATTGACACAATGGAGTACTACTTAGCAGAAAAAAAAAAAAATGGAATCTTGAAATTTGCAGGCAAATGGATGGAACTAGAAGAAACCATCCTGAGTGAGGTAACCCAGTCACAAAAAGATAAACATGGTATGTACTCACTCATATATATGATTTTTAGACCTAGAGCGAAGGATTGCCAGTCTACAATCCACACTGCCAGAGGAGCTAGGAAACAAGGAGGACCCCCAAGAGAAGATTGCACAGTCCTTCGAAGAAGGGGAGGGGACAAGAATCTCTGAACAAAAAGTGGGAGCATGGGGCGTGGGTAGAGAGGAAGGAAGTGGTAAGGGAAGTAAGGGGGGGAGAACAGGAGGACTGAGACAGGGGAGGAATAGAGGAGGGCAAGAAAGGAGATGACTTGATAGGGGGAGACAGTACAGGTTTTGAGAGAGGTCTGGCCCAGGGGAAATGTTAGGGGATCCACAGGGATGACCCCAACTAAGAATCCAAGGAGTGGTGGAGAAAATGTCATGGATGCCCTTCCCCTATAATAAGATTGGTGTCTACCTTGGTTACCATTCCTAGAGCCTTCATCCAGTAGCTGATCAAAGCAGAAACAGGCACCCACAGCTAAGCACTGAACCATACTCCTGGAATCAAGTTGTGGAGAGGGAGGAGGGATGAGCAAAGGAGCCAAGATGGGGCTGGAGAGACCTGCAGAAACAGTGAACCTGACCTAGTGAGAGCACAGAGATCCTAGTCATAAATCTAGGGAACCAGCATTGGACGGAACCAAGCCCTCTGAATGTGGGTGCCAGCTAGGAGGCCAGGGCAGTCTATGGGACCTCTAACGGTGGAGCCAGTCTTCAACTCTAGAGCACAAATGGACTTTGGGAGCCCATTCCCTATGGAGGGATACTATTACAGCCCAGATACAGTAAGGAGGGCCTAGGCCCTCCCCAAAACCATATGACAGACTTTGAAGGTCTCTGGTGGAGGTCCTCACTGTCCCTGAGGAGGGGTTGGGGGATGGGTTGTGGGGGATTGGTGGGGAACATGGAAGGATGGGAGGACAAGGGAAGGGGGGATGGATATGTAAATATGAGTGGTAATTAAAGAATTTAAATAAAAAATAAAAAATAAGAGAATGTAAGTGAGCAGGGGTCTATCTTTTAACGGGGTCCTTTACACCTGCAGGCAGACTAATACTCATGGAACCCTGGGCTGACCAGAATACTGCCTAAGTGCATTCTGCCAGGTAACAGGGGCAGGCCAGCATAATGCCTGAATCCTTTCAAAAGGGAGTGGTGTTATTAGTAGGTGTGGCCTTGTTGGAAGAAGTGTGTCACTGTGGAGTCAGGCTTGAGATCTCATACAGGCTCAAGCCATGCCCAGTGGTTCAGACCACTTCCTGTTGCCTGCATATCAAGATGTAGGACTCTGAGCTACAGCACTAAGTCTGCCTGCACACTACCATGTCGCACCATGATGCTAATAGACTAAACCTCTGAAAATGTAAGCCACCTAAATTCAATGGTTTTCCTATATAAGAGGTGTTGTGGCCATTCAGTCTCTTCACAGCAATAGAAATCTTAACTAGGACAGAAGACAATTCACTTTCAAATCCTTCCTGTCCTAGATACATGGAAGGATGGGAATGCAGAGCCAGCATCCTCTTGGTGTCAGTGGCTGAATCCAAGCTTCCCTCCCTCTTTTTTTTTTTTTTCTTTCTGGGATTAAAGGCGTGTGCCACCAACGCCCGGCCCTCCTCTTCACATTGGAATAGCACTGTTCAGCTCTCCAGTCCTCGTTTCTCCCTTGTGAAGCCCCAGGCACCTTCTTTTCTTTGTCTTTTACTGTTTGCCAGAGCAACCACTTAGTTTGTTATCTCTTTCATGGTTCTAGGCACTTTTCAAAACCTGAAAGGAGTTACAGAGGCTGACAGAACATTTACCACATATTCCACACATAGTTAAGTTGCAGCCGGTTATGGTTGTCTAGACTCCAGAGTGAGCTTTTTTTTCCTGAGTCAATGAGGCCCTCTCCCATCTTTTCACAGTGCTTCCAGGTTTCCAATGGGCAGTTCTCAGGCTGCTCGCCTTCCCACCTCTATCCTTTCTAGATAGTCTGGTTTGGCCACTCACTGGTCTTCGGTTTTGCTTCACTCCTCCTTGCCTTCACAGCAAATATGTAGGTCACCACATCCCAGTGCTGTGCATACAGTCTGCACTTAATAAAGGCCGGCAGAAACGAATGATGGACAGAGGAATGTGCATGGAGGGATGGATGGGTGGATGAAGGGTGTGTGGATGGATGGGTGGGTGGAAGGATGGAAGGACGGATGGGTGAAAGGGAGAGACAGAAGGATGATGGATGGGCGGACGGACGGACCAGTGGGTGAATGGAAGGATGAACACAAGGAAAGAGGAATCTCCAATCTCAGGCTGGCTAGACTTCGTGGGGGGGGGCAGGTGACAGCAACCCCAGGTAGGCAGTTTGGCTCCGGTTTCGCCCCTGCGTGCGCCCGACGGCTTCTGCGCCCTGCGGTAGCGCTGTAGGCGCCCGAGGGCGGAAGCTTCCATGCCGGAACCCGCGCGCTGGGCGCGCGGGTTGCGGGGGGGTGCGGCTTAGCGGGCGGACCGCTTAGCCGGCGCTCAAGCGGTCGCGTGCGAGGAGGCGGCGGCATGGCGGGTCGGCGGGGGAATGTGAATGTGGGCGGACGGGGCCACATCGACAGCGGCAAGACAGCGCGGGCGCGCGCGCTGAGCACTACGGCCTCCACTGCCGCCTTCGACAAGCAGCCGCAGAGCCGCGAGCGCGGCATAACACTCGACCTGGGTTTTTCCTGTTTCGTCGTGCCGTTGCCGGGGGCTGAGCCCGGGACCGGCGACACTCAGCTGCAGGTCACGCTGGTCGACTGCCCCGGGCACGCCTCCCTCATCCGGACCATCATTGGCGGTGAGCGCGGGCCGGGGCGGGAGCTGGGCTCGGGGTCCGAGCTCGCGGGCTGGTGGCGGGCCTGACAGCCTAGGCCTGGCCGCCTTCCCGATAAGCTTGGGGGCTCGAACTCACAGCCCACAGATGCGGACGCCGTTCCCGCCTTCACTGACGTTCAGCGAGATGCTTTCCTAGAAAAACAATCTAAGGAAATAAACCCTGCCAAAGGGGTGTACGCAAAAGTTTCAAAAAAAAAAAAAAAAAAAAAAAGTCACTGAATTCACCTGACGTTTGGTCTCCCGGTTTTCTGTCCCAAATACTGTTCCCAGCTTCCAGTGGATGGATGGTTTCAGGAAAAGTACTCTGAAACGCAGGCAGTCTGTGGAGATGAGAAGATCCATGTTTTTCTTCTCCCATTGTAGTACTTGGGGGTGGGGGAGCTTGAACCTAGTGCCTTGATCATAAGAGGCGATCTTTCTCAAGACCTGATTGATCTCTCACTTTTAAAACACAAATCAGCACTGTCTGGAGACTGCGCCATATCCATACATAAAAGTTCCATCACTAATTTTTTTAAAGCTCACACAAAGTTCCTTTGTACACTTACACCAACATTTTCTCGATGGACTTTTGTGACTTTTAAGGGCTGGCTACCCATGTTGCAGTGAGTATTCTTGCCCAGAGGCTTTGAGCTGTGCACTAGTGTAACAGAGTAAGTTAGGTCTGAATCGGCTAAGGCAAGGGACATAATGTGTTTTCAGTAATGAAGAGTACTGCTAAACTCTACCCCTAGAATTTGTACTACTTAGTCTTTAAATACAGGCCACTTAGGAATAGGGCATTATAAATAAAACATCCCCTAACAACCCCTCTGTGTTCAGCTCTGGACCCTTCCCATTTGTCCACATGAAACTATTTTTATGCCCTTTAAAATTCCTTTTGCAGATCCATTTAACTACACTTAGGTCTAGAGACAGGACCCCATAACCTGTCTTTTAAGTGCCCAACACAAAAATATGTATAGCTGAGTCTACTTGCTATAGCCGAAGTGACCCATTTCCTGCCTGTCCCCTTGCCCTTGGGTTTCTTTCCAGCAGTATTCTGTAAGCTTATGCCCGAATGTATATGGGGCAGATGGTTCATTAGTCCTGGGCATTCCAGGTCCCAGCTTGGGTGATTAGTTAAGTGCTTTGATCTTTGTGGCCTCCTTTTCTCCATGCTGTAGGCAGTCTGAGACTATTTCCCTGTTTCACTGAAGTGGAAATGGAGGCATACCTGCCCAGAGTCACTCTCTTGCACAGTCTCTATTCAATCTACCATTCACTGATTAAAGACTAACAAGGACCACACAGTAAACCAACAAAACTAAAACCCCCAGTCAAATTCTGACTGGCCGTATTCAAATACATCTTAGAAAACATACTCTAAGCTAGTGTAATTGGAGGTGGAACTAGAAAGTGCGTTGGCATGTGTCTTAGTGGTGGAGTACCTGCCTAGTGTACAGGAGGCTCTAGGTTCTATTCCTAGTGTTGCAAACAATAGAGAAAAGAAAAATTAAGTTTTCTGGTAAATATAGAATCTGACTTGTAATAATAACTTAATGATTTTTTCACTTTTATGATGGTGTGCAAATGGTACAAGTTCAGGAGAATTTTGACCTTTCCTGGTTTGTGACACGGTTGTTTGTCAGGCTACTGCGCCGTGAGGTCAGCCTTGAGGTCCAGAGGGCAAACCACTGTTTACTGGATACTGGCTGCTAAGCTGGCAGGCCCAGAGATTCTGTGCATTCCGTGCATTTTCTTATATTTTGAACATAAAACAACTGTATTGGATATAGCCCAGTTGTAAGGGGAGAAGCATCTGAACTATAGATAGGCCAGGCAGAAGGACAGACATTTCTTCTGGAGTTTGCAGTTTTTTTCCTTACTAGCTGTGTGACCTTTGAACTTAACTCTGGATCTTCCATAACTCGTGGATAATGTTAATCATGAAGTTATTTTCTGACATGGCTTTTTTCAAATATTTATGCCTCATGGATCAAACTTTGCAGGAAGCATGTTTTTTGTTTGTTTGTTTGTTTTGGTTTTTTTTTTTTTGAGACAGGGTTTCTCTGTATTGCTTTGGAGGTTGTCCTGGAACTCGATCTGTAGACCAGGCTGGCCTGGAACTCACAGAGATCCGCCTGCCTCTGCCTCTGCCTCCTGAGTGCTGGGATTGAAGGCGTACACCACCAACGCCGGCTGGAAACATGTTTTGTTTATCATGTAGTCACTAACAAAGTTGGCACTTAGGAAGCAGCTAGTAAGTTGAACTGTCCAGGCCCAAGCTGGGACCTTTCCATGCCACTCCAGTTTCCTGAATTCCTGCCTACCCCTTCCAGTATGTACATTCACACAGAAGCTCTTTGTGTGACAAAAATGTTTCAGCATTAGCCCAGTATATATGACCAAATGGCCAGGACCTGAGTGCTTGGTGTTTTGACAGACTATATAACCATATAAGGCCAGATAGCAGGTATGGCTACCAAATACCTGGAGGATTATAGGAAGTAAGTCTGTTTGCTCCTTATACATGATAATATAAGTCTTCTGCCATTGTCCCCACTTTTGGTTGGGTACTTAAAAATGTTAAAAAATAAACTAAGGGCGTTCAGTATTGATTGGATTTGCCCTCCTGATTCTATCCTGTGTCTCTGTCTTTTTCTTAACGTCTTTACCTAGACTTTCTCAATTCACACTCCCCCTCTCAGGTACGAACCAGGCCAAGTCGCCTGGATCTGACTGCAACCCCACAAATACAGCTTCCCACAGCTGTTCCTCCTCCTCCTCCTTTTCTTCTTCTTTTGTTTTTGTTTTTTTTGAGACAGGGTTTCTTTGTAAAGCCTTGGCAGTCCTGGAAATAGCTTTGAAGCCCTGAACTCACAGAGCTCTACCTGCCTCTGCCTCCCAAGTGCAGGGATTAAAGGCATTCACCACCATTGCCCGTCTTATTGTTGCTCTTTTTGCTTCGTATCTTGAGAAAACTTCCTTCCTGGTGTTCAAATCTGGCCTGACTTCACTGGAGTGTGAGCCCATTCTTCCTTGGGGAGATTGGATCCCTACCTTCCTTTTTGGGGACCTGGAAAATGGAACTTTTCCTTTTGAAGGGAAGCATGCATAGCTTGACTGCCCATTCTGGCTCACACTTGTGGCCAGGAGGACCTTGTGGCTTGGCAGTATCCTATGGAGTAGAAGCATCACATTGGTTTTAGATGTGGAAACAAGCCTGGCAGGTAAAGTGTATAGGGCTGCTGATGGAAGCCATCTCTCAGCTGTCCTCAGTCCATTTATCACTGTGCCTTTGCCTTCCTGAACCAGTTACAGGCCAAATTCTGGCAATGCCTTTGGCATCTTGCTATTTGGACATTGCTGCCTGAACAGTGGGTGGGGTCATCCACTGTCCCTATTTTCAGGGGTTTATCAGGTCATGTCAGCCCTTGTTTCTAGATTCTCAGCCCTTTTTTGTTTGATTTGGTTATCGATACAGGGTCTTTCTAGCCCTAATTGTTCTAGAACTCACTTAGTAGACTAAGCTAGCCTAGAACTCACAGAGATGCCAGGTGTTGGGATTAAAGGTGTGCACCATCATGCTTGACTCTCCAGTACATTATTGTATTTGGACTAATCTAAACCTCCTTGTTCCAGGCTCAGTATCCAGGCTGTGCCTTCCTCTGAGCCTCCTCAGTGACTACTAGGTTTCTGGCCTTCAGTAGTGCCGGTGACTTTTCTACTAAAGTGGGTCAACATGCTTCTCCCAAGGCCTTTGGACCTGCTCTGCTTCTGTTGTACGTCAGACTCCTTGTTGCTTGTCCCAGTTCAAATGTCCCTTTATTAGTGAGGCCCCCTGACCCACCTCTCTATGGTGTGTCCCTAGCCCTCACCCCTTATACTTTCCCATTTCCTGATGCCCCTTGCATTATGTCAGTTGTCATTTGCTAGAATTGGGGCTCTGGGAGCAGATTGGAATCAGACTCACCAGTGCTCTGTGCTGCTTGGGCTGGGATCTGGCAACTGGCAGGTTCTTAGTGAATTCTGAGGGAGGGAGAGCTGGTCCACCTGCTGGTTGTGAGCTGGTGGGCAGTTGTGCCAGGGCTGACCTGATAAGTGCATCCTGGTGTCGTCTCTTCCCTTGTCCAGCAGATGACAGGAGAACTGGCAAAGGCACGCTGTCATGCTCTGAGGGAATCTCTGGAGTTTTATGCACAGAGAACAGAAGCTGGGGTAACTCACTAAGCTGGGCATGGAGTGCACCTATCTAGCTACTTGGGTCTGCTGAGGCAAAGGATCACCTGGGCCCAGGAATTTGAGTCCAGCCTATGCAACATATTGAGTCTCTGTTAAAAAAAAAAAAAAAAAGACATTTCCCACCTCTTGTTGAGAGACAGGGTGTGGGCACCCTGTCTTCAGAGTTTTCCTAGGGCAAGGAACAACCTGGTGAGGCTGCTTTGTCAATGTAGGGTCAGAGGTAACTGGCAGCATGGGGTGCAGTAGTATGTCATTATGGGATGTGACTAGGGTGTTCATTACTGTGGAAAGTCTGGGTAGAGTTAGTCTAGAGAGTAGCCCTTGGGATGATTTCTCCTAAGGGACTAGAGCGCTTTGGAAGGCTGCTGCTGTGTAGATGTAAACTGTGGCCAGCTGAGCTGTGGGTAGGAAGCTGCAGGCAGGGACTTCATGGGCAGAGGTGTGGTCTTCTAGTCCTCTCCTAGCATCCTTGGACAACTATGCCAGCAGTTCTCAACCTGTGGGCCAAAACCCCACAGGGGGAGGTCAAACAACCCTTTCACAGGGGGTGCCTAAGACCACTGGAAAACTAGGAAGTAGCAATTTTATGGTTGGGGGTCACAGCATGTGGAGCTGTATTAAAGGGTTGCAGCATTAGGAAGGCTGGGAACCACTGGACTATGAATGGCTCACTGAGTGGTTCAGACCCTTTGTGGAATTATACAGTCCCCTGGAGGAGGCAACCACAACTGAGTCCAT